GTAAAGTAGCATTTATATACGGTTGAAGCGTTAATGTGTGCTTCTAGCACTCAACAATTATTGCTTATCACAGGTTGCAGCATACAATAGATATTTGACTGTGATGTATAAATGCATTGCAATTAATCAACACCACAGAGAATGGTCCCAACACTCTGTGACTTTGCTTTCCTGATAGCCAATGTGCTCTAATAGAGCAAAAATACTCTCTGTGTGTAAATGTGCGCTAAAACCCAGTAACGTATATAGTATACATGTGGTACCATGCATTTTGTATAGCACCCCAGCGTGCACATGCAAAACGAAAAACTAAATAGTTACAGTACGCCACAACGAATGTGAATGTGCTATGTGTTGCCTAAAAGCTGTGTGGGTGTATTTTTTTTTTCCTGTGTTGAAGCTGGGAAATTGCTCATTTACAGTATTTTAACACACATGGATGGTTGCAAATAGTTCCTCAGTATTTTTTTTCCTTCACATATACTGGTGCTGCACAGATATTAACGCTACCAAGTAGGTGCAATTTGGTATTCCTGCATCAGGAACTTGCAATTTCCTGCATAGGTTTAGGAATAATTTGCTATCTATGGACGCATAATCAATGCGTCCAGGGTTAGTGATTGATTCCTGATGTTAGTGATTGATTGATGCAATTGTATCACTAAGGCTGGGCACACACCTTACAACCATCGCAAGACTTTTGTCTTGCGATGGTTGTAAGGTACTTCAAAAAACGTACGATCTGCCTATCTTGCATAGGCAGATCGTACTTGCGATGATCGCAAGCCACGCCCCCTGAGGGGTGGGCTTCCGATGACCGCAATGCCGAACGGGCAGTGTGCGCTTGCGCACACCGGCCATCCTGCTTTTATCTCACGAACATGCTACACACCAGCCGAACATCGTACGATGCTCGACGGGTTTTGAAACATGTTCGTAAGTTTAAAGTCGTGAGACCTTACAGTAGTAGAGGTCGCACGGCTTCCACACACCTTATGATAATCGTACGATCGCGGGATTTCCCACGATTATCTTACGATTATCGTAAGGTGTGTGGGGACCTTTACTGCTGATGAAGGAATACCAAATCCCAGCTACTTGGTAGGTGTGAATGTAGACTTAAAGTGATAATAAAGTCAAAAGGATTTTAAGCTATTTCTAATGATGATAAAATCACTTACAATGAATACTGTTCCTTGATGTTTAAAAGTTTGTTTCCTGCAGAATCAACTGGTCCCCTGAGCACTGGTCGTGGCTTCCTTTTTAGGGTGGCTTCCTTTCTCAAGCAGAGTGCTATGCAGTCACCCTTGTGTGTGCTAGTAAGCTGTGTGTGTGTCTCCACAAACACACAGGATAAGTAGAAAGGTTCTTGTCGCACTCTTTACCGGAGATCCCATGTAATGGGAAGGGTGCTCGTAATGACTGTGGATGGCACCGCTGTTTGCATAAGATAAATGTGAAAGATGTCACCAGCACACCGAAGATCCTTTTGGAATCACCAAATGCTTATTTTATTTTATCAGAATGACAACTTGTTCAATAAAATAAGCATTTGGTGATTCCAAAAGGATCTTCGGTGTGCTGGTGACATCTTTCACATTTATCTTCCACAAACACACAGACACAGCAAATCAAGCTACTTCATTCTCCCCTGGCCTCCCTCATTCCCTCTCTAAGCTAGTAGATGAACAGTTTCTGGAGTCTGCACTGTCCTTTGTGATTTTATACTGGACAGGAAGTTCAGGGAAGCTGAGAGGTTTGGAAGCAGCTGTTTAGAAACATGATGATTGTAAGTGTTTGACTAACAATGTAAAGCAATGCTTTGCTGGGCAATGTGTTTTTGTTTGATCTGGATTCATTATTGAATAAAGGTTTGAGAATGTAATACTAAAGCGTCTATGTTGATATGCTTTTGTTTGCGTCCAGAACTGCTTCTTTCTGTGGGGTGGGGAAGCTAGAAGCAAGTCCAATCCAACTTAGGAGGAGGTCAAATGCAGGTTGGATGTGCCTTCCAGTAAATTCTGATTAATTCCAGAAGTGTCTCTTATTGATGTCAAAAGCAAGCTTGTAGACTCCATCCAAAGCCTGGTGCACTCACTCCTGCCTTCCAGCCACTAGATGACACTTGATTTCTTAGCTGATTTTTTTTTTTTTTTAATGTTCCAACAGACACTTTACAAACATTCATATATGCATCAGGTGATCATGCATATTTGCAGAAGGCAGGGGGCATGTATACCCACCCTCACTGCGTGCGGGGGTAGGGGGCATGCATGCCCTCCCTAACTGGGTGTGGGGGCAGAAGCTTGCAGTCAGTCAAGGAAAATCTATTCCCTAGACTTTTATCAGTCTGCTCTAAGTATGATTAGTTCTAAAACTGCTTCTTTGCTCCCAACTATAGAAATCCCTGTTGTCCCTGTTGTCATGTTCTGGAATATAGTAGAAAGATAATGCAAATGTAATAACTTTGATGCAGGCAACAATCTTTGCTTTTCTCATACTTAAACAGTTGGTGTAAACTCTGTTAACCTTGGCTGGAAATCATTTAGTTTCCTTTGCAGCTGCTGCTCTAGGCTGCCTTTTTGATATGCGAAGCTGCAGCATTGGCTACCAGAGGAGATCTTTTGCGTTCATGATCAAGTTGTAAATGTCATAGTAATTCTGTTTTCATGTCCATCACTCATCTGTTCCATTTTATAGCTTGTAAAAAGGACTGCAGATGAGTCTGAGACATTTCATACCCACAATAATACCTTGTAGAAGCAGCAGGAGCCGTTACAGACCGTGTAGCTATGTGGTTGGTTATTTTGTAGCCTGTGGATACACTGCCTGTAGGTTGGTTGCACTGCGATTCCAGCCAGAATAGATATATCCATCTGAATGTTCTCAAGAATCTTGGCCTATGGGCTGAAAAGTGATAAATGTTTAGCGGTGGGGTTTATGGCTGCTGCATGCTAGTTATGAATGTTAAATGATGTAAAACTCCCCTCCCTTCCATCTAACTGACAGATGTCTAAATATTGTTTGTCCATAAACAACCCATTGAATTGTACATACCCTTTACAAAGGTGGTGTCAGGTGCATATTAACATATCTGCACTTGAGCACCAGTGTCTTTTGAGATGGTATTTCTCTGTCCTTAAAACCACGGTAGTAAATTCGGCTCTAACTGTCCAAATGTGACGATACACTTCTTTTTTTTATATGCAGTACTTACATCAGTGTGCTGTATGGTTAAACTCAATCTCTTGATAAACCAAATTACAAAAACTAAAAGCAGTAGAAGGTAGACGATGGCATATGCTGCCAGGCTATATATCTTGCTGTTTCCTGGAATCCACTTATGAGTGTGTCCCATTCAACAATGCTCTACCCAGTATGTTAGCACCCTAGCAGCATACAGTCATATACTGGACATCTGCTTTCAGCTACATGCTGCCTTTTTAGTTTTTTATTTTTATTTTTCTTTTGGTTTCACTTAAAGAAGCATGTGAGTAATCAAAAGAAAACGCTACTAGAGAGAAGTTTTCTTTTGCAGCAGCTTGTCTGACAGCCAGGCAACTGGCATTTTCAGGCTGATGGCAGTGTCAGCCTCCATATGTTTCTGATCTTTTAAGTTTTAGCTTTAACAAATTGCTAGCAAGCTTTTTAACAGGTTTGAGTAGTGCTGAAGCTTGCTAACAGCGCGTTGAAGCCTGTTGCCAGCTTGCTTGACATCAACATTTTCACTTTAATCTGTGTTTTATATCCCCATACTAAAGGTACTTGAAAAGTCTCAAGAAAACTGCTTAAAGGAGAACTATGGGGTCAGTGTTTTTCCCCATAGTTCTCCTTAGGGTAACAGGAGGACACAAACTAGCGTCCTCCCGTTACCCTAAGCTCAGTGTACCGCGAGCTACAGCTCGCGGTATACTGAGACGCCAAAGCGGATCCCGACATCGACGTCGAGATCCGCCCAGCTGCATGAGTGACAGCTAGCTCTGCCTATCTAGAGGCAGAGCCAGCTGTTCCCGCCCCCTCCCCCGTCTGTTCCGCCAGTCAGCGCTGGCAGATCGGAGCGGGGAGAGGGGAATCCAGCCGAGAGGTATGTGTTCGCTCACCTCCCGATCTACTAAGCCGACCTGTGACAGTCTCATTGTCACAGGTCGGCTAGAACTATGAGGTGAGTGGAAATCACTCATCTCGTAGTTCTCCTTTAAAGCCCATTGAGAGCTTTGCAATAGTTTGCTGTCTACGTTGTTCTTATAGAAGCTGACATAAACCTTATTATAATTTTCCTTTTTTTCCCTTGCTTTTGGGGGAATTTTTAGAGATGCATTGCTTTTGGCTTATCTATACAAGTTGATTAAACCTTGGTTAAAGGAGCAGTATACTCTTCCCAATACTGGTGTGGGACACTGCAGCTGTCACATGCTGACTCTATACTGAGACATGATCGATCATATAACTGCTGATCGCTCAGCTCATGGCAGTGACTGTCACTTACCGCTCTGTGTATGGATTCCCCCTCCTCTCTCCGTTCCTCCAGTGCTTACTGGAGAGACAGAAAGGGGGTGCACAGCTGGTTCTGGCTCTGGAGAGGCATAGCCAGCTGTCAGGCAGTGGGGTGGATCCTGATAATATTTTAAGGATCTTTCCTGGCTACAGTGTGGCTTTGAACTGTCAGCAGATAGCAGGCTGTTGCCAGTTATATGCTGACTTTGGGTCCTAGGGGTTCATTAAAAAATGTAGTCCCATGACCCAAAGAAAAATAAAAGCAAATAAGTTCTGGCTTTACTTCATAAAATTGAGGGTTTTTAAAAAATATTTCTACACAGTGTATTTACAAAAACAATTGTGTGTGTGTGTGTATATGATCTTAATGGCCTCCAAGGCTAAAAGCTAACTTTATCATGACAGTGGCCAATTACAACTCTATACATGAATTAGTAGTGTCATTACACTCAATTAACAGGCTGCCACATAATCTGCTTAATGCTCTGTTCTCTTTTTTTCCCTAGGGTTTTGCGGACAGCCCTCATTACAGTGAGCACTTGAATGACAGTCGATTAGGGCCCCATGAAGGATTGTCCCCGACACCTTTCATGAACTCAAATTTGATGGGTAAGTAGGTAATGCTTTGGAGCAACCCCTCAAAGCCGCTTTCCGTGGGAGACAGTTTGATCCCTTTGTGTCTGCATGTTGCACACGCATCAGGGCATGGGATATTTTCATTTTTTTTTGTCCTTTTACAATAGATCACTTTTTATATTACTATGGCTGTAGGTTTTTTTTGAGTAAATGGAGATGTACAGAAGTGTTTTTTAATTTTTTTAATTTGTATTGATGCAGTAATTGTCATTTAACATCCTTCCCTTCTGCTTATAGATACAAATATCCCTATTGAAATTAATTTAGTGTGCAGTGCCTGGAAATGCTTGTGTTCTATAAAATAATGTTTACAGTGAAATGTTTGAATGTTTCGGCTTTTGTACCATGTATGTGTTGCATACATTCTATCTGGTCTTGGTGGTTAGACCTTCCTTTGGCTCTGTATATGGCGCTTGTGTGGTTGTGATTCTTAAGAGCTGCTTGGAGTTCTACACTACACCAATAGTATTAAAGTAAACCAATTGCTTTGTCCTGCATTGGCAAAACAACGGTTGCCTTCGATTTCTGCCTAGCTTCATAATTGTGTCATTCTTCTGATGTCATCAGGTTTATGCTAACTGGTAGAGAAATTAAACCAAAGTCAAGGGATTTCACCTTGCCTTCTGTGAAACCTGCTATAGTTTGTTTTCCTTTTTTAAAGTGTTTTGCAAGAGCTTTAGAAATAAGTCTGAGCCCAACTGTTGCCATTTATCTCCTAGAGCTTCACTTCAAATTATACTGCAAGGTGAAAAACAAGGGTTCTCAAACTCATTTTTTAAAATCAATATTTCTTTATTAAACATTTTTCAATATACAGTACAGAAAGAAGAATGAAGGAATTATGCATATAAGAAACTGCAGTACAAGAATATTACAAAACAGATCAAATTAATACATCTTATTCATAACTTGAATAGCAGGAAAACATACATCATCAAAATATGGAACTATGATGTTATTGTTCAGGAGCCATTGCAAGGAATCTAAAAGACTAGGTATAGGAAGTAGAGCGAACCAAACTGATTTTAGGAAGATGTAGAATCTGTCACCCTTAGGCCTGGTTCACACTTATTGTGGGTCACACTATTGTCACAGCTGAATAAGCGCAACAAAATGCTTCAAAAAAAAAAAAAATCCCATTCATCCCTATGGCCCCTGTTCACACCCGAGCAAAACGCTTGTCGCTGGAAAAAGTACATGGCCTTCATTTTGGCAGATTACAGCTCGTTTGTCCCCATAGACTCAATAGGAAACGCGCGTTGCAATTATTTTTGCGTTTTGCCTATTTACATCAATGTGTCAATGTGTCACAATTTGCTCTTAAAAATGTGCAACCTAACACATGCTTTTAAAACGTGCGCAAAAACGGGCAGCAAAAAGGTATAAATCGAGGCTTAATCCTATTTTCACTACCTAGTGAGCTCCCTGACCTGTATAATAGTGAGCATGTATAATGTTTTAGATTTCACAAGCAGCATTCTTACTCCTGGTCAGTGCTGCACTAATGAGAAAAATATAGTCCTTACAAATGAATGCTTAAACACTAGTCCGCAATGGCAACTCTTATTTTTCTGTGTTTGCTGGATTCTTTAGTAAAACTTCATTGACATGATCAGTATGCTTATTTGCTGCCGTTTAACATGGACATCAGTACTTTGCAATTTTAATATAAACTGTTCTCGTCTTTATTCATATTGTAAGCTTATTGTATTGTTTTCTGTGTGACCTATTTTGCTGTCTCTGTATTGTCCCTTTAAGACGCAGCCATGGTAATCTAAATGGATTAGCTAAATCCAAATCCTGGTGGTCTGCAATTTCTTTTGGAAATCTTCCTGCTTTGTATATGTTTTTGTTAATCTTTTTTTCAAGACATTGGTGTCTACCAAGGTAACGTCATGGAGATTGCTGACATTTCAGTCACTAATACACAGCAAACCTTATTTATAGTAGGTTATCTTTGCATTTATATAGAGTTAACCTATTTTGCAGTGCTTTGGACTAAGAGGCTTCTGTTTTCTAGATATTAAGTCGCTTGTTACATATTTTTAAAAGTGACATTTTCTTCAACACAATATGCTTACATACTATATGTCACTACCGATTTTACTCACTGGACAAACACAAATAGCTTGCTATAGCTTCATCTGTATAGATTTATTTTGCATATTGCTTTAGCTCGAAAAACCATTGTACATTTCAGCTTGATCTGCAGTATATTTAAACAGGATCCCTAAAACTTCATAATAACCTTAACATGTTGTTGTAATCTCAAAAGTTTATTTTCAATCATTTTAAATTCAATCATTTTTAATATACAGATTGCATTAAAGTAATATCTGGTTACCCTGCCATGAAGGTCTTTCTGTTTCAAGGATGAAAACTGTCCCTGTCTTCCGGTTTTGCTCATGCACTGTTCCATTGCCATGGCATGGTCCTCTGTCACTTTTAGGAAACTGGAGGCCATGCATGTAGACAGAAAGTGGTTGTGGGAGTTAAGTAGCAGTGAGATGCAACCAACAATGCAAAAAAGGTGTACATCAAATATTTTATGTCTATGGTGGTTTGCAAAAGAGTTGTTTGGGAAAATACTTTTGTTGTTTTTTCTCCTTTTGAAAGTCTAGTCTAATGATTGTTTAATTGGTGGTCGTGATATCTGGATTGAGGAAGAAAACTAGAGTACCCATACTAAACCCATACAAATATGAGAGAATAATTGAAAAAAAATTAGCATTTCTAATGTAAGATGAGCAGATCTCAGTACTGAAAGACAAGTGTGCAACCAGATATATGATAACTAAGCATTTTCATTTGTATATTTAACAGACCAAAAGGAAACAAAAAGTTAATTGTTTGGGTTTACATTCACTTTAGCCACTTACTGTCCAGAGCAATTTCTTATATTTGCGCATACGATAAAATCTGAATTTTGGCTAGAAAACGCCTTAAAACCCCAACAATGATATATTTTCTGAAAGGAGAGGCACTGTAGAATAAAAATATGCTAGTTGCAATTTTTTATGTCGCACGGGATTTGCGCAAATGTTAAGCAAACCAGTATTTTTAGAATAATATAAACTAAAATTAAGTTTAGTGCACAGAAACAGAGTATAATACCCAATTTTTGGGTAAAATATGGGATCACGTCGGCTAAATAGATGCCAAACATGTCGAGACTTAAAATTGCGTGCGCCCGTGAAACCGCAAAAAACTACAATACCCAACATTTCCCATCGGTGTCGCTTTAAAAGCTTTTACTGCTTCTCAGTTTTAGTGTTAACAGAGATTTATGGCCCTAGAATAATTGCTCTTGTCAACTGGGGACCCAGCTTCTTATCCTGGCTCTAAGAGCTGGAGAATGTGCACAGCGATGCCGGAAGTGATGTAATACACATCACTTCCATGTCCAGTGATCGGAGGAGAGATCAGCAGCTAGAATCCTGCTATGTGACAGGAGATCAAAGGGAGTTCAGTACACGAACTCCCTTTGATCTCCTCTCAGTCCCCGAATGCAGGAAGTGATGTATATTACATCACTTCCTGCATTCAGTGTCACTCTCCAGCTAGAGAAGCTGATGAAGCCGATCTCTGCTTCATCAGCTTCTCTGGAGGTCCCTAGGTGACATTAGGGGTCTTCGAGACCCCTGATGTCTCCATAAAGAGGACCTGTCATGTAAATTGGCTATCCCATAGGGGGCTTCTTAGCCCCCCATGTAATAGCAATAAAGTTGTATGTAAAAAAAAAAAAAGTAATACAAAAATGAAAGATTGATAAAAAAAATAAAGAAGCATAACATTTATTTTTTTAAACATTTTTTTTCTATGTCCGCGCCCCCGACATACACACGCATTTATGCGTCAGGTGCGCCTACGTGCCGCACATGTTGCATATCACCGCAAACAGAGTGAGAGCAATACATTTAGAGCCATTAAGGTCGGGTTCACACCTGGGCGTTTTACAGCGCTGATCGACGCCCTGCAAGTGAAATCCCATTTATTTCTTATGGATTGTTCTCACTTGGGCATATTTCAGCGTGTCGGAACGTGCTGAAAAACGCCCTATGCCCAAAGAAGTACAGGAGCTTCTTTGGGGCGTATTTCCGCGCGTATCCATTAGGATACAGCCGGATAGCCCTCTTAAACGAGCGTTTGACACGCGTTTTGTGGACTGCAAATCGTGGTTAAAACATGCACCGCAAAACGCGCGTCATACACGCATATTTTGAACGCCTAGGTGGGAACCCAGCCTAAAGGAGAACTATGAGGTGAGTGCTTTTCACTCACCTCATAGTTCTAGCCGACCTGTGACAGGCTCAGTAGATCGGGAGGTGAGTGAGTGTTCGCTCACTTCTCGATCCTGTCACGGCACAGAGCCGTGACAGGGGAGGGGCTGGATTCCCCCCTCCCCGCTCCGATCTGCCAGCGCTGACTGGCGGAACTGATGGGGGAGGAGGCAGGCACAGCTGGCTCTGCCTCTAGAGGTACATCTGGCTCTGCCTGTCACTCACGCAGCTGGGCGGATCCAGACATAATTGTCGGGATCCGCTTCAGCTGCGGCGTCTCAGTATACTGCGAGCTGCAGTTCGCGGTATACTGAGCTTAGGGTGACGGGAGGACGCTAATTTTGTGTCCTGTCGTTACCCTAAGGAAAACCTATGGGGAAAAGCCCTAACCCCATAGTTCTCCTTGTATCAGTAATCACTGATAACACTAAACTGATGAACAGAAAAAGCGTTTTAATCGTCGCCTATGGGCGTTTTTTGCGATTTTTGCGGGCGCACGCAATTTTAAGGCTAGACATGTTTGGTGTCTATTTACCCGACGTGACCCTGACTTTTATTTTTTACTAAAAATATGGGTAAGAATAAATGTTTTATAACATAACGTAGGGAAACTTTTTTTTTTTTTACATTTTATGGTACTTTTTAAAATTTATATAGTAAAAAAAAATACCCCCGTGGTGATTATATACCTCC